TATCTCACTCGATTTCTCCTTCTGTATCAAGTTTCTATATCTTTGATTTTTGTTGTGTGAGGGCACAAAACGATCTTCTCTCCGGTACCATTTTTTGATTTTTGATCTGCGAGCATAAGTTTCTCTCACTCTTTAGCTTCTGGTTCGATCATGGCGATGGCTGCCAATGTAAGCAATAAGCATTCACCAAATGATTTTGATTTCCATGGTGAAAAGAAATCTGAATTACACCGAACCGATCGGTTCAGCTAGTTTAGTATAATTGCAAACCGTATCAGTTTGGGCCAAGCAAAAACTAGTCGCCGTAGTAGCCCATCCAATATTGTTGGGCCGAGCAGGCATATCTAATTCTAACCCATAGATATCACTTTATCATTTCTCTCGCCTCACCTGCAATTTGCTAAGGTCCTCTACTTCTGCGTCGGATCTCTGAGGTTCGACAGGTTACTTGTTGACCCTTCTCCGCACACCTTTTGTTTGTCCTGCGCCGGTAATCCCATCGGATCAAGTTGTTAATTTTTTCTTATGTAATTTTTGTTCCTTGTTCCTTATATGAATTTTCCACGGATCTAGGCGTACTCTTTCTTTTTGTTTTCACTTTCGGGATAGGTTTTATATGCATCTCATTATGTATTTTGGACTTAGTCTGTATTTTTCATTTTTTTTACTGTCTATGTCTTTATGATGATGATTGAAAGGATAATTTTCGCATTTATTCCCTGCGTAAGATATATGTTCCAGGACATGGGGGTTTTGATGTGTTTTGGATGTTGATACATATCAAATGCGGTTCTAAGCGCTGGTAGTGTGTCAACATGGTTAAAAGAAATTTTCTTTAGCTAATACTGAATTTGATAATTGCGTTGTGTTTCCACAATCATTTTTTTTGTCTTTTTGTTTCCGTGGTTAGCAGAAATTTTCATATGAAGTAATTACGTATTCGCTTTTCCCTGTCTTCTTTAATGAAGTTATCAGTTATGTGAGTTGTGGGTGGTGCACCTTGTATTTTAATCCTCTGTTCTCCATTTTGACAAATTTTATCTTCATTTTTTTGTGAATAATTTATAGAACTCGTGACTGAAATGGCTGGGGGAGGAATGATTCGGCAGTTGCTGAGGAAATTTCCATCACAATCTTCAGTAAGCACAGCTTATTATTCATTGTCTTAATCAATAGGGTCCTAGGGATAAGCTTTTGATGATGTGTCCTGTTTGACCCTATAAATAGATGTTAGAGAATTTATAAGAATAGTCATTACAATCGTTTTGGTAACAATGTTGGAGTCGCAAGTATTTAAATTGTGGAAGAGGTGAATTATGCCATAGTTACGAGAGAACCATTTCTATTTACTTGATCAGGGACATCATTTTTGGCATGATTAGGTTAACTGATAATTAGTTGTGGTTACTGTACCTTACTTATGCAGACCCCTCCTTTGTCCTCCTCCCTTATTTCGAAGAATGAGGAAGCTGGCTTTGCTGGTATGAACTCCTTTAGAAGGCTTGCACTCCTTGGAGCAGGCATTTCTGGGTTTTTCAGTTTTGCAACTTTGGCATCTGCTGATGAGGCTGAACATGGTTTGGAGTGTCCGAACTATCCCTGGCCTCACCAGGGCATTTTGAGTTCATATGATCATGCTTCGTAAGATATGACGGCTTGTCATTTTTTCCTTGCTTTATAAACCATGTCTGAATTTATGAGCTCATCTTTACTTCACTATCAGTCTTACAACCCTTACCTTAGTGGTTTAAGTGTGCTATATTATAAGATGTTCAACACACTTTATTAATAATTTATGGCAGTGCCAGTTTTCCCAGAACATTTGGGGCTGGTTCTTTGAGAAATTTGAAATTGCTTGGGCTCGTAATAGAGATTGGGTGTCGATGTTGGAGGAAGTCTTGCTGTATTCTCCCTTCCGTGAGAAAGGGAGTTTCCTTTGGCGGGTCGGGTTTTTTGGGTTTCTGTGGGGCATTTGGGGGGAAAGAAACAATAGAAACTTTGTTTTTGTATGCCCGTGTCTTTCTGTTTGGTTTTCATTCTTCTCAATGAAAAGTTCGGTTTCTTATTAAAAAAAAACACACTTTATTAATAATTTTATTTTCTATTTAGTTCATTTGATGGATTATATTATTCTTAAATGCAGTAATTTTTTTACTGCATTTCTCTGTTTTAACATGAAGTTGACTGCTCATTCAGGCTAGTTATTGATCATTGGTCTATCTGGAAGTAGATAGATGGCTCGTGTCTTAATGAATTGATGGTCTTTTCATGTCTTTTTTCTTGAAGTTGATGGCTTATTCATGCCAATCATGACTCCTTGATCATTGAGCTATCTAGAAACTTTATATTAATGGACATCCCAGCCTTGGACTGTGCATATTCTTATCATCATCTTATTATTGTTGTTGTTGTTGTTGTTGTTGTTGACTGTTGTGATTTGCATTTATCAAGAAGGAACTGTAATTACATAAAGAAATATTAGAACTGAAAAGACTACAGAAGATCATTCCTACTTGAAAGAAACATTACAAGGAACTGTCCCAAAGCATGAAAGGGTCACAAAAATTTCTTACATTTGGTGTTTATCAAGAAGGAACTGTAATTGCCAAAAAAGATGGGAAAATAACTCCAAAGTGAGCCCAAAATTTGATTAGATCCCATAGATTGGAAGGAGAAATTATAATTAGCATTTCAATGTGGAACCCAAAAAAGGAATAAGGGGGAGATAAGGAATCGTCTGTTGAAAGGATTACAAAAAGTCCTCCATTGGTGCATATCAATAAGGAATTGTAATTACAAAAAAGATTGAAAGAAAACTCTTCAGAGAGCCCATAATTTAATTATATCCTAAGAAATCCCCCTTATCTTTATATGAACCAGCAAAAATGCTACGATTTCTTTTCAATTAAACTTACCAAGGCTAGCTAGAACAACATTCCCCCATAAGATCTTTGCTTCCACATAAAAGGGGTACCACATTCAGTCTACTCTAAAGGGCCAAAAAAATTCCCTGGAAAACACCATGTGAGACTAAAATCCTTTAAAATTATTTGGCAACAGTTCAATGTGAAGGAGCATCAAACTGAAAAACTGGTTCACATTTTGATATTCATTCATTTGTTTATCATACTCCATGTGGATAACATATTTCCTATCTATTCCCCCTGCCTCATCGAATTATGTTGATTGATACAGGTGAGGGAAATTTGATGATACTGTAAGATCTTTATGCTCTAAGTCCTATTTTTCTTGAGCAGGATTCGTCGTGGTCATCAAGTTTACCAACAAGTGTGCGCATCTTGTCATTCCATGTCTTTAATATCATACCGTGATTTGGTTGGTGTTGCATATACTGAAGAGGAGACAAAAGCAATGGCTGCTGAAATTGAGGTAGTTGATGGGCCCAATGATGAGGGTGAAATGTTCACTCGTCCAGGTAAACTCAGTGACCGGTTTCCTCAACCATACGCAAATGAACAAGCAGCTAGATTCGCTAATGGTGGAGCATACCCTCCGGATCTAAGCCTTATCACAAAAGTAATTATTGTTTATCATTCTTGTAGTTTTAGATAGTAAGATTGTACATATCAATATATTTCTCTAAGTCATCTTGAAGAGGATGTGTATAAAATTTGTCCTTAAGCTATTTCATCCTTTTCTCTCTCAGGCTCGTCATAACGGTCAGAATTATGTATTTGCCCTTCTTACTGGTTATCGTGATCCACCTGCTGGTGTTTCGGTAAATTTTAAGCTACTGTTTTTATACTCAATCTCCAAAGGATGTTATTTTGTATTTCTTGCTGCATAAAGTTACTATAAATGTACAGTTGAAAATTATGAGATTTGTACAAGTAGAAGATTTATCTCGATTGTCCTTATTCTGCATTCTAATATGTTTCATTATTTCGTGTGGACTTGAGTTGGCTTAATTAGTTTTAGATGTCTTCTATTGCCTGTCAACTGTGATATAATGTGTGGGCACAGTACACATAGAGATGATAGAACGGATACATCCTTACTCCTTGTTGCACATCTTCATATTTGGGGCCTGAAATCAATATACTTGCTAAGTTTTTCTGTTTGAGTGTGTGGGAGACCGGAAATCTTCATAAGCTGCAAGTGGAACATCATATTTTGTGGTTATTTTATTATAGAAGTACTTCTCCACCCTGGTCAAATATTTTGAACTTATCTAGCTCATTTTAAGTTGCATATCTTCATTGATGTCAAACCATCAGATGTCTTGCATATTGTTTTTGGTTGTTTATTACTCCACTTCCCCTTTGGAATCTGAAGTTGCATCTTTCATCTATCTGAGTTTGATCTGTTACTTTTTGGTCTTTTAAGACTATTCTTAATTAAATATGAGACAAACCTTTTATTCTTGTGATCTTTGTAAAACATTTGTTCATATAGCGTTGCTTATTCTGATAGGAATTGAGCTATAGTCACTCTAAACTTAACCCTTATTTTCCTCATTTGTTCTTGTGATTTTTGGATTGGACATTTTCCAACCGATGAGTAAATTTGAATCATTTCCAGCTTGATAACTCTTCCAAATTCTGAAGTAACACTGTGAATGGTTTTGTAGATCCGAGATGGTTTGCACTATAACCCTTATTTCCCTGGGGGAGCAATTGCGATGCCTAAGATGCTTAATGATGGAGCTGTTGAATATGAAGATGGTACCCCTGCGACAGAAGCACAGGTCAGTCTGCAAAATATGCAAATTTTGTAAATTTTATAGGATACAAGAAAATGTTTTGGGGTGATGCACAAATCTGCCTGAGCTGACTTATCAACTTCTTGCTCGATTGTCGAGACCCCTTCTACCTTGATTTATAAGTTCATATCCTTTTGTAATGTAGATGGGAAAAGATGTTGTATCGTTCTTGTCATGGGCTGCTGAACCAGAAATGGAAGAAAGGAAACTGGTAATCTTCTTGCTAATCATATGTTGGCTAATTAAACCTTCCTAATTTTCTTATTCTAATGTTGAGTGCCCTTGAATGCCAGATGGGATTCAAATGGATCTTTGTGCTCTCTCTTGCTCTACTTCAGGCCGGATATTACCGCCGATTGAAGTGGTCAGTTTTGAAGTCCCGCAAGCTGGTTCTTGATGTAGTCAATTAGCTATCTGCCTTTGAGTTGCTTCTATTATTTTGCTTCTGGGAAGAAATGAATTGGCAATAATTATGTGTTAGAATGTAATGTTTCTTGCGAAGCAATTTCTTCTTTGAATCAGTTAATTTGCAGCGAAATGACCTGCAAGTGTCGAGTTCCTCCTTTTTGACGGAAATAAACTGCTTCTCATACGCCTAAATTCATTATTTTTGTGGTACAATTGACACAGCTGAGCTGACATTTTATGTTTGGTATATTTGTTTGACCGTAAGATTTGTATGGTGAACATTGAATTTGAAGGGTTCTGATCGAGGAGTCTGCCCGGTTTTGGGGAACGAGCTTCAAACGTTCTGGTATTGTTAATATTTAGAGGTTTAGCTAAAGCAGAATTAATTAGATATGTACCTCTAGAAATGTGGATATGCACTTAAACTTGGAGCAGACTGTTTGATGGTTCGGATGAAGAGCAATTCTTATACTGTTTGACGTTTAGCAAGAAACACTCTTTCAAAAGAGGGAATATGCATGTTTAACCTTGGTTGAATTTATATATAGTTTTTGTTACATTGTGAGAAATAAAAGATTACAAAAGATAATAAAATGAGTGTACATATCACATTGTGGATACGACATTGTGAAATTTGTGGTTCATGTAGGACGACTATATTTCATCGTCTGCACAGATCAGTGAATCGTCTTCCTCAGCCAGACAACCCCTGGCCCCCATTTTTCTTCACAAATTTGAGTTGTTAGGGCTCACAGCACAAATTCTATCAAATTTCTTCTATCTATTCCTGCTGGAATCAGTCTATTTAACTCAAAATTTGAGGCATGATGATGTTTTGATTGTTTGTGGCTAGAATTCTGAAGTTTGTTTTTTGTTTGGCTGAGATTTTGTATGTTTATTAATGTGTATACATGTGTTTTGAGACTATACTTCTAAATTTTTACTTTTTTTTTGTCTGAATTGAAAATTAAAGAAACTATAGCTCTATCAATTATATGAGCCGGCATGAACATAACTCAATAGTAAATGATATCTATTTTTTTTCTTGAAGTTGAGGTACTTAAAAAACTATACAAAAATCATGTTTATATTTCTATTATTTCATTTGAGAATTGAGATGAAGTCTACGTTAATTTTAGAAATTAGAAATTTATATTTCTGTTCTTTCATTTAACTATATTTGTCTGTTTTTCTTTTCATGTATTTCTTTATGTCATTCTTTTTCAGTTGAGGTTGTACTTTATTTTGGATTTTCATTTACACTTGTTTTAGGACTTTGATGGACTGGAATTAAGAACCCTTTTAACAAGTGAATCCCTTAACTCATTACAAATATAAAACTTCTCAAATAATAGGATTAGGTCATCCCTAGATCAAAGAAACAAGTTCCTTAATTATTTTAGAGGGTGAAACACTGTAGGAATTTGAAAGGCTCTCAGCAAGGGAAGCAAACAATGAAGTTTTATTTCTCAAAATCAATGTTTGTTACATAGTTCATTCCAAGGACCTGAGGGGTGGTGGGAAAAGCATACCCCCAAAGAAAACCCTAATAAATCAGAATAAGGAAAAGTTGTAACTAAAACTATTACAAAAGGCAATTCTCTAACAAGTAAACTATTAATTAAACAAGGGAATAAAAGCAAGACTTTTTGGGGACAAGTATCCGACCATGTAAGAAGGCCTGAATTTCCTAATTTTATCACTAATCTGAAGACAAAACATATATCTGAAAACTTACATCGAAGAATGCTAAAAAAACATAGTGCAGCCATGTTCCTTAAACTGGCTTCCTGTCTTGGTATTTTCGTGAAGTCTAGCTCTTCTCTTTGAATCTTGAGCTCTACTTTCTATAAGTGGAAGAGACAACTCTATCTTCATGGCTTCTCTTGCGGAGCCCACCATTACTTGAATACGAAACATCACCTAAAAGTAAAAGAGTTTCTTTTAGTACAAATGTGAGAATTTGAACTTCTGGCCTCAAGAAAAAAGTAAATGTGATTTATTGTTGGGACAATATATATGAAAGAAAATGTTTTTTAACTTATACTATGGATTATATATGTGATGTACACTTATTTTCATGTTAGTTATACAACTTGAGAGTTCAATATTAATTTTGACTCTAACTTGAATCACTATTTATTTATAATGTATGTAATGGTTATAAATTTTGAAGGAATTTGATTGGTAAAAGTTGACAACGTTTATTTGAAAGATTTTTACCCACTGAAAATATGCTAACATCGTCAATGAATTCTATGTTTCTGTAGGACTTGATTCTTTAGATTGATAAATAGATCCATCGATTCATGAAATACATTAATGTTTGATAAATGTTTTTGTTAGCCTAGAGACCCCTTAGATTTAGGGGCAACAGTTAAAAATTTTGTTAAAAATAAAATTGTGATGTTGTCCGGAGCTTTTTTTTTTCTTTTTTTTCAAAAATAATACTTATTTTCATAATTTCTTTTAAGTCGTATACTGTCTACGTCTTTGCAATCTTTTAGACGGAGATAGATGACTTAAACTACACTCAAATTGGCAACTATTTTCACAAATTAAACTAAATTTCTATAAAAATTATTTTTTATTCAAGGAGGTTCATGGGACAGGACGAAGATGGAGAAGCTTTCTTCGTCCCTACCTCCTACCCCAGTTTCTCGCGTTTGAATCTTTGCTTATGTGTTTATTTTTTAAAATTTCTACTTTATATAGTATATATATTATTTATGTATTTAAAAAAATTATTTCATTTTATTTTTTCCTTAGAAAAAAAAACACTTACTACACATTCATGTATATATATGAAGCTTTTAAACAAAATTTCTAGATCTGTCGCTAACGGAGAGGATTTCAATTATCCTTCAAAGTATTTTCTCTGTTTTCTTTTCTCAAAATACCAAAACTATCTCTCTTTTCAATTATAGAATGACGTTTTTTGGATTAATTTGAAATCTTGGGTCGGGTTAGTTTGGATTTAATTCCACACCTCAATGCCTACTTCACTTGAATTGATCATACACAAAACTTATTTTCCAATTCACAAGAGAGTATTAAAAAAGGGTGATAATGTTTGTAGTAAACCCTAATTGATGATCAGATAACATAATTTCAAAGGAAAATGCCAGAGGGACAGAGAGTACTATGATCATCATCCAACCTTAGCTCTTCACGTTATAAAGCAAACAGCTCTCTCGACATGAAACCTCCACAACAACAAAACAAAACAAACACACATTTTTCCTAAGAAATCAATGTAACGCCATTCATTTCCCACATAACGACACCATCTTTGATTACTTATAAAAACACTAAATAACATGATAGGCCAATATTCCCTTTTTGTTTTTCGTGCATGTTTCCTCTCCCCTTTAGAAACAAAACCCACATCCCATAATAATTATTAAGGTTGGAAATTATTCAAAAACAATGACAAATTTTCTTCCTCGTATATATAATCAATGTCTACTCTACATATATAATAACTCGATCGTCTTGAAATTAAAAATTGAAAAGAGAAAAGGGCAAAGTTTTTTTTTTTTTTTTTGAAGTTTCAGCCATTTATATGTAGAACATATGATAAGTCATGAGCTCCTTGCATGGTCTCTAAAATGACAGTTTTGGATCTAACAAAAGTTTTCCTTATCCCACGCTGTCTATGTCACGTTACTCGCCCCTCTTTATACGTTTCTTTCTCCTTCTCTCTCTAAAACTCATGCATGCACAAGCATTATGTTTTCAAGTTTTCATTTTTTTGGAGAAACCCAATGAAGGAAAGAAGAAATTTGGTGTGTGCAGGTAAAATAAGGAGAGTTTTAACAATTATTTAACGTGTTTTAATCTCTAATGTTCGAGTGTTTTTTCAATTTCGTCATTTTGTTTGAATTTTTTTTTAATATATTTGTGAGTGTTCGAACCAGCTTGGACACAGACTAATTTCACGGGACGGTCGTCTGACCCTACAACATTTGATGTCCGAAATACATATGAATTAATTCTTAATATAGGTGGTCATCATGGAACTTTAATTTCTTTTTTTTAATAATACTCTTTTTATAGGTTGATGTTAAATTGGTTATAAAAAACTTATATTTAGTGAATTGATAAATGTTTAGAAGGTAAAATAGGTCATCTACTCTTAAATTTACAAGAAGTTAACATAAATATTAATATTTTCCTCTTTCAAATTAATTCAGAATCTAAATTTCTATCCATTTATCAATATCATGTCGTACAAACTTATCATCAACAACTTTAACATTCACGGATAAAAATACTATAATAAAAATAGAAATAGAAAAAGTGTTAGAACACGGGAACTAAATTGAAATATTTTAAATAATAAATTGAAAAAACATAGTGGAATAAAACATATATATAATTTTTAACCTTTTAAAGTATAACTTGGTTGAAGATTGAAGTGTAGGTCACCCCTCTTCACCAAATGGTAAAAACAAAGCAAATCAAAGAGTGGATAGAGAAAGCAACAATACAAAAGGAAAAAAAGCAAAGCATCTTTACTGATCTCCATTAGAGCCAGAGGCAGTACACAACAAGAGATGCTGAGTTAACAAGTAGCTCTTAAAGGAGGCTGCTGGCTCACTCTCCAAAGCCCTAAACCAAAGCTTAAAACACCAAAAAATAATTAATTCTTCTTTTCTAAATCAAATCCAACCCTTTAACCCTTCTCTCTCTCTCTATCTGTGGCTGTAAAATTTGACAGTTCATTCATTCAATGCAATCCCAAAGCCACCAGTTTTTGCAGCCACAAAGTACAGTGTGTGTAATTATATATCAAAGAGGGATCAGAGGGAGGCTCAGGCTCAGGCCTAAGGCTAAGGCTATACACTGAAGCCCTGAGGGGCTAGCCTGAAAAACCACAGCCAACACTGCCACTGTTTGATGTTTCATTTTTACATGTTGACATAATAATGTTCTCAGATTAAGTCCCTCTCCTGATAAAAGATAAAGTCTGACACAGTGAGAGTTTGTGGACAAATGTACTCATTCTGATTCAACATAAAACAAAATCAAAGATATATGCTATTAAGTTGTAGTTTTTTATATATCAGTCCAAAAAGTTTCACCTCAGATCCCAATGAAATATATATATATATATATATATATAAATTAATAAATATACACATTGCTAATATGTATACTTCGTGGAAGAACTGTTGATGACCAAATTACTTTATAAAACCAGGCAAGAAACATTAAAAAGAAGAAAAAAAAAATTTCATTGGTTAAAATTTTGAGAATCTCCTATCCCACACATATTGGGTCTCTATAATTTCTGGACATTGCTTGGAAAGAACAAAAAGGTTACAATATTCCATTCATTAGAATACTTGGAACAATTCTTACCTACATATTGATTCACAGAATATTCTACTAGGCTTTATGATTTGCTGTATTTTCACTGATTTCTTTTTTTTTTTCTTTTATATTGATAAGCACTTATTACGTCTCGTGCTAATTTTCGGCGAGACCACAATAAGCCGTAAGTTAAAAATTATAAGAATATAAGAAGAGAAAGAAAAAATATAGGGCAAAGGCTATGATCTGTTTTCATTCTTAACTATCGTCTTTGATCAAACATATTACACAAACAGTAAAAACAAACACCTAATAAGAAATTAAAATTATTCCCTATGATGATAATATCTTGTGGAGATCAAAGGTGCTACCTTTTTGTTCCAATTGTTGGTTTGTTGGCTAGGGCAAGGCAGTGTAGTGGTGTAAATTATCTTCCCAATTAGCCGCCGCCTGAATTCCACTACTATTATTCCACCCACTCCCACTGCCACTCCCACCAATGCCATTATTCCTCTGACCACTCCCAAAGAACCATTCAGTGGTAGCAATATTATCCCCAGTTGTAGATTCTCTCCGAGGATTATTATTAATGGTGGTGGAGCTACTCAAATTACAACTGATCTCCTGTACTTTTGGAGCCTCCAGATTCTGAAACAAAATGGGTTGCAACAATTTCTGCGTTTGATATTCTTTCTGCTGATCATCTGATCCAAATATCATCCCCAGCCGCTGCTGCTGGAGTTTCCAATGGAGGTCTTGGTTTAGAGAGCTCAAAGACTCGATGGAAGATGCGAGGCTGTTGGCCGTGTTGTGGTCTTGGATTGCAGGGCCAAGGTTATTGTAATTGTAGTAATTGAGCCCCATGAAAGAGTAGTGATTGTTTGGGGTTATTGGGTGGCCCAATTGGAAGTCAAAGGAGTGTGAAACGGCGGCGTTGAAGAAAGGGGAGTTGTCGGCGGCGGCGGCGGTGGCCGTGGCGGAGGTGAATTTTGAGGAAGATTTGAGCTTTTTGGTTTTCCGGCAGCCGCCGCCGATGGGGACATTGCGCAAGGCGCCACCTTTGGTCCAGTACCGGCGGCAGGTCTTGCAGAAGTGGCGGGGCTGAGTGAGGCTGTAGTTGTTGTAGTAGCAAAATTTGGTGTTGGTGGAATCACAACGAGGGCATTTGAGGGCTTCTTGTTGTTGAGATTGAGAATCTGGATGATGGGATGATCTTGTGGAGGAGGTGGGTTTTCTTGTGGTTGAGTTTTGGGTAATTTCTTGGTCTTGTTTAGATGGAAGGAGAAGGGCATTACGTTGAGACATCATTTGGAGATGGAGCTGCAAAAGAGAAGTGATCAGAGAAATGTAGAGATATAAAAAGGGGAGAATCAAAAGCAAAAGGGCAAAAGCAAATCCTAGAAGAGGGAAGAACAAAGTTTGTGTCTTTTCTCCCTCTCTCTTGGGTTGTGTTTGGTTGTTGATGATGATGAGTTTCCCTTTTGCAGAAGCAAATATACTAAATTCAATGTTTTCATGCAGTGAGGGGCATGATGTGATGACGGATGTTGATGGATGTGCTTGTGATTTTCATCAAATAGAGGTTTCACATATATACAAAAGTAACCCCACCCAAAACACTCCTACTAGAGGGGCACACCCAACAACAAACAAAACTTGTCTCCAAAAGTTTTAGGATAAAAAATGGCTCTTTTTTATGAAAATTTCTGTTTCCATCTCGGAAATATTAAGGATCTCCACGTTAACAAAGATAAGAAACCTAACAAAGATTAATAATATAAGTGAGTTACTCATCTCATTGTCTTGGTTTGAAATGAAATATCATGAATATTAATATGATATCAGAACTCGAAATGCTTAAATGAGGATCCGATTTCCATATCTCTGCTAACCATATTTGTAAGGCTTTTAATTGCATTTGCATTGGCATTGGCGTAGAAAAGAGAGGCAGAAAATATGATATAACAGTGGGAAACAGAAGTAGAAGAAATTATATGGGGTGTGGCGTGAGAGGGTGAGAGCTGATCAGTAACTCAGAGAATCTGTGACACACTGCAAATGCAACAGAGAGATCGAGCCTCTTCCTTGTTACGTATTGTCCCCTTTAAACCATAAACCATGATACCTTCATCAGCTGGCCCTCTAAATCACTTGTCAAATCCCCACCTTTTCTTTCTCTTTCTCTGATTACACCCTTTGATTAACTACATATTATATTAACGGACGTCATTTTTAATACGATGTTAACGCGTATCGATCTTTTCGTAGTACCATTCCGTCCCTATTACATGGCAGGGACTTATAAGCTGAGACTCTGCAGCCTCTGCAAGTTAATCAATCTGAATCATCCCATCCACTTTAATAATGGCCATTTTCTTAAAAAGTTGAACACTAACAAACTAATTAATGCACAGTTTGTACTGTTTGGAGATTGCTTAGCAGTTGATTTGAAATGGTTTTAAAGTTGTAAAGAAAGTGGATTAATTTGTGGCATTTGACACGTGTTGGAAGGGAAGGTTTTGTGAAGAGTGAAGAGAAGAGTTGCTGAAAAACTGCAAAGATACCTTTCATGCCAGTTTGAGCAACTCTATAACTTTACCTTTAACGGCAGCTGCTATTTTGTCTTCTACCCCTTTGGATCATATAAAATGATGCTTTGGGGAGGGGATTTTTCTCTCTCATCTTTCACAGTTTTTAATTTATTCACCATTATGGCATCTTCAAGTTTGATTAAAACTACTTATTAAACAACTTTATATACAGTGGGAAGATAATCACTGAGAAGAACCTTATTTCAAGTATCTCAATAAATAGTATGATATTGTATGTTTTTTGTATAATCTCATATACCTCATACCAATAGAGATAATTATCATCATTTATATATCATGGAAAGCTCTGTTGTGAGCCAATGTAGAATTTTCTTTGTACTCATTGCAACCCTAACAATAATCAAAATCTAAAGTGACACATGAGAATTAAGTTTTTTGATGTGATATTTTATCTTAGTACGATGACATGATGAGCTAGAGTACATAAGAATTTGAGGATTGAGTTTTAAGACATCATTTTATTGGAAGTATGTAATGGATAATCACAAATTTAGAATCCACAATGTACTTATTTGAGAATAAACCAACTTCACTGCTTGTATTGAAATTTCTTACCAAAAAAAAAAAAAACAAATTGACTTGGTCACAAACTCTCTTGTTTTTCTTCCAACACACTTACTTGAAATACAACAAAAAAAGTTATCCTATTTATAGGACTCCACAGAAGAATCTAGATCCATAAACTTTCATCCTATATGAACCTCTACATACTCTTCATACAATTAGCTCATCTTAAAAAGCTAAATAAGGTACTAGGTTCATGTACCTAGGAATTGTACATGTTTAATTTCTAATATATTATACATATACTTTGATTGAAAAGCCGGAGGAAAGATAGAACTAACTAATCTTATATTTCAAATAACAACCCGATGAATTTTGATGATTCTTTTTAGAGTGTAACAATAAATGACTTGCTATATTAGACTTTTTATACTTTTTGATAAGGACAAGAATGTTTGATAAACAATAAAAACTCTTAAAACTATAAGGATTATATATTGAATTATAGTTAAAGAGATGAGTAAAGTTTTTTACATTCTTCATTTGTTATTCTAAATTAAAGAAAAAGGCAGTAGCTTTCGAAAGTGCGTAATGTATGGTGGTGGAGAAACGTGGAGTTGGCGTAACATTAAGAGAACTTTGCACTATTACTGAAACACAGCTAAGTGTCTGTCCATTGGCCATTTGCCACAGAGAGAAACATGTGAGAGAGGTGGCTGGAATCCCGTGAGGCCATCCCCACAAAACCAATTTCAAATTATATCAACTTATGGTTTTGTGTAACAATCTTACTTCTCACGGGTTTTTCATATTTCCCATATCTTACTCTTCTCCCAACTTCCATTTTCTATTCTATTCTCTCATCTTTTTACTTGCATCTACTTTTTCTGGCCTGCAGGAGTAGTCATCTAGTGTTGGATTACTGTAATCTAGAACTTGAATCTGATTCAATAAGACATAGAGTAAGGACACTTAAAGTGAAATGAGAAGCCACCTCGTCCAATTGGATTGTAGCCCAAATACTTGAATGTGATTCAATAGGACATAGAGTAAGAAGAGGTCACTTATAATCTCAGGTTATTCAACACACATCTCGTGTAAATTTGTTAGATTGCACCCAAGACATGAATAGTAATAGGAAAAGATGCCAGTAAGAGAAGTGTACACAAAGCAAACAGGAGGATCACTTTTGGCGATGTTATTAATTAGTTATAATGTTCGAGAAAATATGTCATTGCGGAAATCAAAACTTTTTATAGTGCTAATCTAATACAATACATTAAGCTTGTATATGGATATAGTGAGCCCTATCAAACTACCCTAAAAATCTTTAAAATTACAACTACAACTATGAGACTAGTGTGAGGGCCGGGTTGCCTAATTAAGTATACCTTTTCCTTTTTTTTTTCCCTTTGGTAGGGCTATAGCGAGTCCTATGCCAAACTACTTGCTTTAGTATTTTTTTAGTTGGGTGTAAATTTGAACCTCCAATCTTTTAGTTGAAAATATATATCTTAATCAATTGAATTTTATTTGGGTTGTCACTCCTGTCAAGTTGATATAGCAAATTACACACCATAGAGCTCGTGATCTTTATCAAGACATGTGCTAATCATCGTGTCTTTCTCTCTCGTATATACTATGAAGAAGACGAGATAAAAGGGATAGAAGGTAAATTCTCTCTAGTATACCCAAAACTTTGCCGAAGTCCAGACTCAAAGCTGTGACTTAAGTATATATATTTGATGTGAAGCACCTCCTTGTCTTTGCAGGCAAAACTCTAACTGCGCACACTTCTCCAATGCCACTACCTCTGATCACCGTATATGTTTACATATATTAGTTGACAGTCTCCAATCAACTATACGGCTAAAATGACACAACAATATTAATTCTATGGCATTTATTGAATGTTTTCTCTAATTTTTCGTGTATACATATGGTCATACATTTTCAACAACTTCTCAATTTTATTTACTGAGAACTTTCACTTTTGATTTTAAGGTAATTAATAAGAGAGAAAAAGTATTTGCGTTGTTGGGGTTCAACTGTGCGAAGCCGATCTTTTCAAGGAATCCACGAAGGTCGACCCCAATAACTTAGAAAACAAACCAAATGCGAGGGTTCATTTAGAGGAAGGACCAATCCGAAGCGTAGACCGAAGGTCAGTCAGAAAGACTCCGTGCGACTAGGGAAATTTCCGGATGGGACAACTATTTGCTCCATTGACTGCTATAAATACACCACCGCATCACGAGTCTAGATATGAAATCTGTCTGAAACTGATCTATTAAGCTCGGATTATCTACCGACTTGGACGTCGAAGTGGTTCACCTCATTTGTAGGTATCCTAGGATTCGCTCTGTGTAGGCGGCCGACCTCCCAAGTCGTCTTTGATGCCTTGACAGATTTTTACATCTAACATGCGGTAATAGTAACTTCAATGTTCAAGTTAATCCATCATATTTCTTCAAAACGGTCTCTAGGAATTCAGGCTGAAAAGATTCAACAATGGAGTCTGTTGCACACATTTGTCTTTGTTTTCCTCAAAACTCTCTCTTCTACACCTTGGGCCTCACTCAACATGCTTCACATTCTAAAAGTTTGGGCGTTTTATTTGATCCTTTAAAACCCCAAAATCCCTAGCCGAAAGTGTGTGGAGAAGAAGAAGAAAAAAAAACAAAAAAAACAAACGTAGTTCTGGAAGGGAGATTCCAACTTTCGACCTCCATGTTTACACCAAAGAAATGTTTGGAATTGACAAGTTTACTACGATGCATGAGTAGTCTAAAAGAGGTTCTTAGCATCCATAATAAGTTCTAACGCAAAACTAAGGGTCCTACCATATTTGATTAGCAAAGCCCAAATATAACCCCCATTTTCCAAGTCTTAGAATCAATTGTATCAAGATCTACTAAGTTACTTTACTATGAAAATAAGTGAACTATGTTACAGATTCCAATAGTCATGTCTCAATAGTGTCTTAAACAAATGTAAAACTTTTTTTGTTTACAGTATGACATATACAAATCTAATCTTATGAAAATGTTATTGCTACATATATTATGCTCTTATTCACATGTTTGTACTTCAAATATGTAAATTCAAGATCAAATTATTTGTGACTATTGCAACATGCATTGTATTGACAAGGTCAGGAGAATAAGGTATACTAAATACAAAGCGTAATAACCTAAAGGGAATTTTGATTAAATATTCAAAAGAGCTTTCATTTGAACAGAATACAAAGGATTTTCACAGCGAGATGTTGCTAGTAAAATGGCGTATATCTCGACAATGGACAATGGGTACAATAAGTGCAACCCAAATGAACAGTCTAAGGGGCCACGTTCACTAACTAAACTAAACTAAACGCTTTAACTTCTGTCCTAAATTTCTGTGGTTTTTCAGCTAATTACTTTTCTTTGATGCTATATATACTTGTTAACACAAACAAATTACAATTGAAAAAATGGGTAAATACTGGATCATGTTAGAGGTGGAGCTTCAAGTCGAATGTAATCATACATTAGGCCTTGAAAAGGGCTCTGGCTTCTTGCCTGAGTGAGATAGATGGAGTTGTTTCCTTGCAGAAATTGGTCACCGGCTAAAGGTATGGAGTATAACCAGTAAAGTCCATGGATGCCATGCCTTGCAATTGCATTGTCCCCTCCGATCATCCCTGTCGAAAAAGCGGCCCGGTCGGACCCTCCATCGTTCAACCGAACCTTCATATCAAAACATTAGTACATTACATAGTATTGGTTGAACTAAAACCTATTTTCTATTTTTTTTTATTAAGAATATCATATCACAAAAGAGAGAGGATTCAAAACGACAACCTCTTAGAATAACTAGAGATGTCTTAACTATTTTGCTATAATTATGTTCCACAAACAATTATTTTCAATTTTGGTTCTTAAAACTTTCAAACATTTAAAACATGTATTTTTTATAAACCTCGTTGGGTTCTTTGATCTTTTCAATGCGAATTCTCAACATGCTCCCTCAAGATGGTGTCTCTTTTAGACTCATCAATCTATTGGCTAGATCTCATTTTTAAACCAGATGTTCGTTTGAGCTTATTGGACTCTAATATTATATTAATATTTATGGGGATTCATCTCAAAATTAATTGGTGATGAGAGAAGTATCCCATGTATCTGATATAAACCTTGTTAGATTCTTGATCTTACAAACATATATATATAATTTTAAACACTTTTCTATGCAAATACCTATTTATCATATAAATAAAAAAAAAGTTGTGTTTAGGTTAAGTTTCATAAATCAGTTACTCAAAGATTAATGAGAATTAAAATAATTCTCAATATTATTGAAAAAGAGTTCACTTAAGAATAATCTGCGCACGCTAATACGAGCTTAGCTCAATTGTTTAGGACATGTATTTCAGATAAAAAACCGTGTATTTGAACCCACCCCCACATGTTATGTTATTAAACTGTACTAAAACAAAAAAAAAAGTATACTCTACACACACTCTAATACCTGTAAGTTGCATGTAGCAGCAGATGCCAATGCAATCTGCAGTGTGTAATTTGCCGTTTTGTCCACGGTTTCCAGTGAAAATTTGATTTCCCAAGTGGTTGCTTCATACGTTTCATTCCCCACATTCCTTCGTAAACCAAAGAAGGCAAAATAACCTTAAATCAGTTACTGAAACACAAACCAAATGCGAATAAAAACGACAAACAGAACCGAAAACAACATCATCAACCCGGCCCAAAATTACCTGTTAACATGAGCATAGAACCAGTCCTTGCTACAATCATCCACACCAACTGTATAAACAAGATCATTATCTGGATACATAGCCGCATAACGTTCCCACAAGCCATATTGTCTAAACCTGTTAGTCAAGACCAAATTCTCAAGCATCATTAAGAAACTCAAACGTTGATTGAGACAAGGAAAATGGCTTTGGAAAGAACATAATAATAATAACAACTTGTCGGGATGGTTGTTGTAGAGCTTATTCATGAGGGTTGGATAAGGGTCGGGCACATAAAACTCGGCTGCAGTGCGGTCAGGAAAGCCGATCTCCCACAAGGTTGGACCCTGCCTGGGCGGGTCAAATATCATCACGTCCAATCTCATTTTAGACCCTAAATTTACAGATAAAATTAAATAAAATGAACGGTTTGGTTTGATTTTTGACGAAATTATTGAGAGAGAGTTGCTTATTACCAGGCTCGATTGTAATATTTGCCTCGTATTTATAATCTCCGATGAAGCCAGGGACAAAAGCATACAGATTGTAAACCCCAGCTCGGATGTTTTGGATAAAGAAGTTGCCATGATTGTCAGTTCGAGTCCAGAATTGATAGCCCTGAAAGAAATTAAATATAAGATATAAGTAATTACCACGTCATCATATGTGCTAAAAAGATTAAAAAAAAAAGACAGAGAGAATTGTAGCAGAGTAGAGAAAGTTATAGAAGAGTTTACTTTGGTTTCCCTTTGCCAAGATCCGGCAGGACCAGGCAATGCTAATCCAACGAAAGCATTGCTGGCACGCATCAGTCTCTTACTGATATACCTGATGGAAAGGAAACACATTTTCAAATGTTCTAAATTTAATCACATTCACAATGAGATGAGATAATTAAACTGACCAAATTGGTAGAGAGAGAGAGATACCCATCGCGGACTAGTAACCGGCCGGCGAGGTTTCCTCTTTGGTCGGAAGAAGGGAAGTCTTGAGATTGAGGAAAATCATATGGCCAGTCATTGACTTCCGTAGCCAACTGAGGAAAGTCCGAACCACACCACTTAGTGAACAAACACCAAGCGTCAAAGACTCAAGATTGAGAAATAGAGAAATTATGGACGTACCTGTTGTTTGGCATCTTCCCAGAGAGTGAGATAGAGAGAAGAATCTTGGGCGGCGGGTGGGAGGGAGTTGAGATACACGAAAACGGGGCCGAACACCTTCTTCCAGGGCTCCCGGGCTGCGAACTTCATGCCCACTTCCTTTCCGGCGTAGTGAGTGCTGACGAACATCTGCGAGGACGGAATAGTTTTGAATTTTGAACATCTGGAGGCATTTTCACAAACAGGTGGCGGGCGTGGGCGTGGTTGTGAGGAGTTATGGGACTTACGGAGAGAGTGATGGGGCCGGCGTGGGAGGTGAGGTCCTGCTTGATGGGTCCAGCCACCCGGAACTCGTCGCTCGGAGTGATCATCCAGAATCCGACCGGCGGATCGCTGCAGATCCAGCCGTGAACTTGGTTGTCCTTGTCCTCGGTTGAGTATTGGTACTTGTCATCCACCTGCACCACCAACACTGCCTCACTTCACTCTAACATAATATTTGACTGCTTATAGTTTTACTCACTAAATTTGACCATTCTTTACTCTCTCTTTTTTTAATTTTATACAACGATTTTGAAAACATAGAGATCCAATTTTTTTCAACTTTAAGAGAAAGATTATATGTCAATCACTGCTAAACTGTATTCATAACAATTTTTACTCTTTCTGAAAGCAAGTAAAAAAAATCTTGGTGATTAGCATAGGTTCAAATAAGTACGACCTCCTTTTTTTTTAATTATTGTGTTCTACATTATATTTGAAATTGAGTTTTTTTTAAAATTATATTATATTTATAAAATTTCGAACTTTGTACCATACTTAAATATTTATTTATTTATTTATTTGATGGTGTTATGAGTGAATAAATAAATCAAAGGGTAAATTGTGAAATTACCTCTCCTCTAAGCTCCTGATTGGCAGGATTGGTCAAAAGAACAGCCTCAGGATAAGCCAATGGCTCGCCCTTGTTACGATCTTCCATCGTCGGCATCACCCTCTGCCTATCGTCCGATACAGCCATGTAATCAAACCTAAACAGTAAACATTAACACACCATTAAATTAAATTTTTCACTCAAATTTTATTGCGCAAATAAAAATTTAAAAAAAATGGAGGAAATTGGTTTTGCTTTACTTTCTGCTTTGGAGCTTGTAAACGATCCTAACTTGATCCATTTCTATCTCGGGCCAACCCGTGGGCCTCTCGAATATCGCATACGTATAAAACCCAGAGCTTCCTCTCAGCAAAACGTACCTACAGCACACAAACGCAAAAACGACGTCACTTCACTTTCACGATCCCTCTCTTCTTCTAAAAATTACAAATTAAAAAAGTTACGTTAAAAATAAGAACTTATACGAACTACTTCTTTCATTGAATGGTATCATAATCTAAAATGCTCAAACAGTCATCCGATCCATAAATAAAATCCAATCAATTTTGATGAGTCAAAAGAGCCCCATCTTCAAGACATGTTAATATCCTATAAAGATTTATAATAGACATGATACCACTCTTAATTTATTTTGGGATGGAATCTCGTGAGCATTCATAATTTCTTCCTCACCTTTTGTCCACATTCACTGGAGCCGTCTGGTTCCCAACTGCGAAACTCCACGTTTTGTTAAACGAGATTTCCAGTTGATCCTCGGTTGCCATTATCACTTCAAAGCTCGTTCCTTTTAATCTACATGCCAAAAATAAACTTTTATTTAAAAAAAAAAAGGTAAAAAAGTAAAAGTAATAAATGGGCCTTGCTTTGTTGTTTTATTATACCTGTCAGTGGTAATGTGTTCGCCTGGATTGTTCCACACAGCGTCCCAGTAGCTGTAAATACCAACAAAAAAAGAAAAATAATAAAATTTCAGGGTTAATAATTAAATATGAAATAGTTTTGTTTTTCTGGGTACGTGAATTTACTTAATTACCCTCTGTTTTGCTCTTCGTTCTTGGTTTCTAGAAGGTTGTCGATTCCATTGTAGCTTAATCCGACCACGTCCCCGTCTGGAGTTGAAACAGTAACCTGGACTATTCCATTGTCCATTATTATCTGAACACAAAAACACGTAGTGGGTTCGTGTTTGGATGCCGAGAAAATAAAATTTTCATTTTGATGGAAAATTGGTTGGAGAAAAAGATACGAGCAGTGTACTTACGTATCCACTTTTTGTTTGAAGCTTGACAACGTTGAATAGCCCCGAAGAGTTGTTGATGTCATTGCTCCTTAGAAATCTCCTGAATTTGTGAATAATCTCGTGAGATGCAAATAAAGAGCCTCCCTCCCAACTTTGGATTTGTATAATAATAATAGGATATTTAATTATACAAATTGGATTTGTGTGGTATAAATGAATAAATCAATATTCAATCTAAAAGCTTGAACTAATGAATTATGAAAATTTAATTTATATATTGAATATATTTTAATATCATAAAATATAGAGACCAAAGTATATTCTAACATTAAAAAAAAAACTATAATATAATAAAGCTTTACCCATACCAAACCCATAAATGAAAGAACTCCCAAAAATGTAAGGTAACAAACTAAAAAAAATGACCACATTCGATAATTACTCTTGAAAAAGCATTTTTGTAAGGATGAGGGGATTAAAGTCAAAATAGCATATTTGGTTTTTATTTTACCGAGGATAATGGGGTGGGTGGGCAACACGGGGAATTTGGATATGCCAGCTGGCATTCAAATACCTATAAACTACCTGAAAAGTAAAGTTATAATAATAAAAAAAAAAAAAGAACAGAAGCTAAGTTCTTAAGGAACAGTAAAACTGCTCACCGAACACTTGTCGTCATTTTATTGGTCCAAACATC